CAGAGCTCCCAAAATTCAAACTACTAACATGCTAATTGGCTACTGGTTGCTATACTTAATGCATAAGTTTCTTCACTGGAAAGTCCCTGACCCAGTTTTCTTACATAATTGACCCAGTTCCCTTCTCAAGCTGGAAAGGCAAAATAGAACCTAGGGCCCATTTCCCTATTCTGCCTGCCTAACATTCCCCCATGAAGGAGAGAAGACCTTGATTCTTCAGGAACAGGGTGCCGATGTCATCACAGCTACTTCTTGCTGAAGAAGGACACCAGTAGACAGAGTCTCCTGATCCCTCCTAGCCTACAGGTTTGGGGCTTGACGCTGCTCCTTCCACAATGGTAGTGGACTGGATTTGAAGGCATGGCTAGCAGCATCCAGAGGTGTAAGGTGAGAGATTTCATGGAGGACTTGCAACTTGATGGCTTCCATTCTGGAGGAAACAAATTTGACTACTAAGTTTAATATGCATAGACCAAACAATAATAATAATGCCGTAAGTGGACCAATGAAGAGAAGCATCCAAGAAAAAGTGGGGAGATGGCACTTATTATTTGAAGGCAGTGTGCTAGTTTTCGAGCCATTTAGCATGTTCTGAAATTTTGGGGAATTCTTAGCTCAACTTCTCCACTAATAGTGATATAGGTGCAACAAGTGGTCCCATGGACAGCACAAACTCCTTCCTCTTCTGCCAGGACAGTGTCCAAGGTGAGCCTGTGATCAAGAACCGTATTTGCTAGGGAGTCAAGGGATTTCTGGATGGCAGTAATGGTTTCAGTTTCTTTGGTTATTGTTTGGACAGTGTGTGAAAGACTAATAATCTGCACATGGGTAAGAGTTATTCCTGTTGCAAGACCACCTGCACTTCCCAGACTGGTAGTTAGTCCCAATGCAACTAAGGCCACACTGGCTCTCTGAGCTTGGTGATAGGGACCGCCTACAGGGGGTGGTGTTATATAATTTGAGGTATGTCTCGCAGAAAGTTAGGGTTCCAAAGGAACACAAAGTATTCACGTGGGTAGGTTTGATGCATTGCAGGGCCCAACTAGAGTTTCCAGACCCCATGCAAATAAACTAAACCCCTTCTGGGTCACACAACAAAGGTGCATCCTTCAGGACTGTGAAAATAAGTTGGTTTTACAGTGGTGGTAAGTCAAGAAACTAAAGACCATGAAGAGTTTTGCCCTTTGTTGGGATCAATATCAGGCAGTGAAAATACTTTCCATAGTCCCTTAGGGGCTCCCATGGAGAAATTAGCCCAGGCAGCAATAAAAGTATAGTAGGGGAATATATGTGACCTTCCCCGGAATTTGGGCAATAGAATTTCTGCAATTGTGAGTTCCAAAGGATCCTGTTCTGGCCCTATAAGTAAAAATGATGTTACAATCAGGGCAGGAAATGTGAAGCTTCATCCCTCTGGTGTAGATGCTTTGCCCTAGGGGCTGATTCCAGCCTTTGCATAGCCAATTACCTGCGCCTTGCCAGGCACAACTCTCAACTGTGTGCTTGTCAGTTTGCCACTGGTAGAGGGAGGGATCCTGGGAAGTGTTGTTGAAGGTAAAAAAAGATGAAGGATCTAAGGAGACAAGTGTCACATAGGTATGACACGGTCCAACTACAATTGCAAAGGTGAGGCTGTAACCAAATACGAGCTGGGTTGAATTGGTCTGGAAGCTTGCTCCAACTTATATGGATTAAGGGTACAGCAGGGATAGTCGCCTCTGTATATTGTACCTTGAGGCTAGCAGGGATAGTGGACAAATTTACTGCTTGAGGCAACACCAAAGACAACAGGCTAGTTACTGATGGTTGCCCTTTGAAACGGCCCCAACAAGAGGAAAGATTTAGGGCCACCATATCCTGGGTTATTTGAACTAGGGTATTTTCCTTCCACCCAGAGTTGCTGGCAAGACTAAAGGATACAGATCTTGGCAGTAAGAAAATAAAGAAGATGGCTAAACTTAAAATTTGAATAGGCCCCATTTGAAATCCCAGCTGAATTATCCTCTCTTAAATTTTGAGTCAATAATTAAACTTTAGGTTTAAACTTAGTAAGTGCAAACCAGGGTAAAGGGCCTACTAAAACAGCAAGGAAACCAAAAGAAAGAGATACGAAGGGATAACATTGACATTCATATTAACTAAGGTTACTTATCTGGGTTTTTCTTTTGGAAAGAACCTTTATATTTTCCATGGGCTCATAAAAATGCTGCAGGATTTCCGTAAGTGCTTCAGGGTTGCCTCCTACAGGTTCAACTTGGGACCTGGGTACCCAGTTTTCCACACCTTTTAGTTTAATTCCATTTTTATGGTCCTGGTTGGCCTGCATAATGGGGCCAAACCTGGTAAAAGAAAAAAAATGGTAAAGAAAATCAGTTTCTCTTTGCCCAGGCTGTCAAAGACCAATGGGGTCTTCAAGGGGATGGACTTTGCTTGTTTCATGGTTGCTGAGGGGAGAGCAAAAGATCTCCAGACCAGGCATTCCCAATCTCCTGAGACCCGGGAGACAAAGGGCATCCCCCTTAATTGCTCTTGTAAGAGAGGTGCCAGCACGACTTGCACAGGACACTCTGCAGTAGTGGCTGGTGGCCCAAGATGCCTTCTCTGAGGGCCCACCGTTTCAGACCCCAGGTACAGACAATGTCCTTCTATAATACCCTCCAGACCTGGTCGGAGACTATGACTTTGGACATCTAAAAGAACATAGGTGCTGCCATGAAAAAGTAGATAGTATTCCACATCTATCCAACAGGGTCCCCATGCCATTCAAAATCCTCAGCCAGAAGTCTTAGCAATTAACCAATTAATACTGTATCTTGTTGAAGAAGTCCTTCCCCAAGAGAAGGACCAGGGCCCCAGGAATTCCTAGAAATTGGCACATGGCCAATTTCCCATCCCAGCTGCAAAGTATGGCTGGGATTTTTCTTCACCTCACAAAATTCCCATCAATGTCCACCAATAGGCAGGAGGAGGACAGGGGTTCTTAAGATCTACTAAGTGGCTCCTCTTATAGTATATATAGTGCCTAACGCACTTGACTGCTAACCAGAAAGCTTGCTGTTCAAACCCACCAGCCTCTCCTGGGAAGGAAGCTTGGGCAATCTACTTCCGTAGTGATACTGCCTCAGAAACTCAAGGAGGGGTTGCTGTGAGTCCAATCTGACCTGATAGCAGTGCCCTTTTTTGTTTTTGTTTTTTACCGATCACATCCAAGACTATCCAGGGCTCCTCGAGTGTTATGTAAATGGCACATGGCACAGAAGCCACCAGACCTGTCAGTCTTTGGCTTCTCCTATGCCACTCCTCGGAAGGAAGGTTGGGCAATCCTACTTCCGTAGTGATACTGCCTCGGAAACCCAAGGAGGGGTCGCTATGAGTCGGGGCTGACTCGACAGCACATAACAACAACAACAACAACAACCAGCAATGGTAGCATAGTGGTTAAGACACTTGACTGCTAACCATAAGGCTGGCGGTTCAAACCCACCAGCCACTCGTGGGAAAGATGGGGTGATCTACTTCCGTAGTGATACTGCCTCAGAAACCCAAGGAAGGGTCACTATGAGTCCTACTTCACGGCACACAACAACAACAATAACACCAGCAATGGGGTACAACCTTCAGGACACTCCCTGGGGAAACGTCAGGCAGTCCTGTACCCAATAGCCAGTCTTACCACATTTGTGGCAAGGCGTTTTCGGGATCAGTGATGCTCCAGCCAGAGCATATGCAGAGAAGCAGAGGCTTCTCTTTTTATCCCTTGAATAATCAGTCTGAAGTGAGCGGGGAACCCTTTGTGCCGACCAAAGGGGCTGCAACCAAGAGTTTGGCCTTTTGGCAGTCCCTCTCACTTACCTCCATGTCCCGGTTGCGGAATGCCGTGACGGCCACTTCCAGTTGAGGACTTTTAACTACCAGTCACCAGGAGGCAAGGAGCTCTGGTCCTGCAGTGCCTAAGACATTTGACTGCCAACCAGAAGGTTGGTGGTTCAAACCCACCAGCCACTACGTGGAAGGAAGACCGGGCAATCTATTTCCGTAAAGATTTACCGCCTTGGAAATCAATGGTCTATTAGTCGGAATTGACTCAATGGCAGTGGTTTGTTTTTTTTTTTCTTTTTGGTTTCGCGGGGAGGCAGTATAGGCAAAATGGAAAACTTTTAACAGCAATCTCGCCTTAGCGGAAACCACCGTTGGAGGACTGTCCACGCCAATTCAAGGAAAAGTATTCTACGTTGCAAAGCGGCAGAAGCTAAGCATCCGCCATATATGTATTTCTTATCTCATCCTCCGCCAGCCAAAGAGAAACGCGTGTCCGCACAAAAATGTGAGCTTGGGGAAAGCCCTGGGCCGGCCGCTTGCTGCCTTGAAGAATCGAAAACAGTGCAGCCTGTTTCCTTCGACCGCGACACACAAGCAAGGACTGCCTAACATTAACTACCACAAAGGGTCAACTCGGCGTGAAGCAGCTGGCCTGATTTGAGGCAAATCCATTACATCTCGCAAGAAGGCAAGCTGGGTGTGCAGCGCAGTGAAGAGCACCTGAGCGACACTTTACCAAGTTCCCCTACAGGCTGGCAAACCCCACGGAGCTCAACGCCCCCTTTAGCAGTACAGCCTGCCGCCAAGCAAACAAACCACAAGGCACATCGAACTCAAGCGAAACCCCGCCTCCCTCAGCGCCAGCGGAATCCGCGACTGCGCCCCAGCGACTTCCACCTTCGCGCCCCTTCACTCCTACTTCCGATTTGCACTTTCGATAGGACCTTAGAATCTAGTATTTCCCTCAGGAACCTTTATATCCTATTAATTTTTCTCCACTCTATTATTGAGGATAAAAATTAAGCTGAGAGAAATTCCAGACAGGTGGGGCGATGGGAAAAATGAAGCAAGTGAGAGGCCTGGCGAAAGTGCGCTGCAGGAGTATCGCTCATTTTCTTCTTGCCAGCCGGAAATCACAAGGAGTGAATGGGTACAGGCGACTGTGGCGCTTCTCTCTCCACTTGACGCTTGGAGACCGTTTGGCCGCCAGTCTCGTCAGCCTTTGGGCCACTAAGTTCATGTGGAGATTCCCAACTGCCCACGCCGTGCTTCGTGGGGTCCGGACGGCGGTGGAGCGGTGCAGCCGGGCCCAGACGGTCACTGAGAAAGCGGCGGGAGCTATGGAGCGCGCGGTAGTGCGCTGCGTGCCCTCGGAACCTAAGCTGAGTTTGTCGTTCGCTCTGGCCGATGGCAGCCACAAGAATATGCAGCGCGACCAAAGTGAGCCACTAGGTCGGGCCCTTAGCCGAATCGCCACCAACGCCCTCAAGGGCCACGCCAAGTCTGTCGCCCCCAAGAAGAGCAGGAAGAACCGGCCGAATGCGAGCGGCAGCTCGGCCTGTGCTGGGCCTGACTCGGCCGCGCCCAGCGAACCGGTGGTGAAGCTGTACTACCGGGAGGAGGCGGTAGCTGAGGACGTGCTCAACATGGATGCCTGGCAGGACGGCGCGGTGCTGCAGATAGGCGACGTCAAGTACAAGGTGGAGCGCAACCCACCCGCCTTCACCGAGTTGCAGTTGCCGCGCTATATTATGGCCGGCTTCCCCGTGTGCCCCAAGCTCAGCCTCGAATTTGGGGATCCCGCCGGCTCCCTCTTCCGTTGGTACAGAGAAGTAAAACCTCCAGCCACTGAGCCTGAGGGTGAGGGCCCCTCGTCGTTTTCTCCTTCCTTAGCCTGTTCTACTTGGACAGAAACGGGTGTGAACGAGCGCGTCTACACCCCGTCCAATGCTGACATTGGGCTACGGCTCAAGCTTCATTGCACCCCAGGCAATGGTCAGCGATTTGGTCCAAGCCGAGAGTTGGAAAGTGTGTGTCCTGTGGAGGCTGGACCCGGTACGTGCACCTTTGACCACCGGCATCTCTACACCAAGAAGGTGACAGACAGCTCTCTCATCCGTACCATCTCCTACAACATCCTGGCCGACACATACGCCCAGACTGAATTCTCCCGAACAGTCTTATACCCATACTGTGCCCCCTACGCCCTGGAACTCGACTATCGCCAGAACCTTATCCAGAAGGAACTCACAGGCTATAACGCCGACCTCATCTGTTTGCAGGAGGTGGACCGCGCAGTGTTTTCAGACAGCTTGGTGCCCGCCCTGGAGGCCTTCGGGCTGGAGGGCGTGTTTCGAATCAAGCAGCATGAAGGCCTGGCAACCTTCTACCGAAAATCCAAGTTCAGCCTCCTTAGCCAACATGACATTTCTTTCCATGAAGCCTTGCAGTCCGACCCAATTCACAAAGAACTGCTAGATAAACTAGTTTTATACCCACCAGCGCAAGAAAGGGTATTTCAGAGATCATCTGTCCTTCAGGTAGCTCCAACCGTTTCTTCGCATACTTGTCCATTTTTAAGGGCCTGGAAGGCAGGGGAGTTTAACTGAGACGAAACAGTCCAGATTTTATTGAAAGGTACTCACCCTTGGGTTTTCACCAAAAAAAAAAAAAAAAAACACCCCACTGCCCAAGAGTCCATTCTGACTCACAGCAGCCCCTCCCTGGGTTTCCCAGACGGTATCTCTACGGAAGTACATTGTCCAGTCTTCCTTCCAAGGAGTGGCTGGTGGGTTTGAACTGCCAACTTTCTGGTTAGCAGTCACATGCCTTAGGCACTATGCCACCAGAGCTCCCTGGATCTTCACAGACTGTCTTTAATTGAGTCATTCAGCAGATATTTATTGAATACCTCCAGTGTGCCAGGAATGCTAAAGGTTATCTTTAACAGGACAAACGGACTTTCATAGTGCTTACGATCTAGTGGGAAAGGCAGATGCTAAATACAAGAGTAATAGTAACAGCTAATATTTTCTGTTTGCAAGCACTGTTATCAACACATTATAAAGTGTTCTAAATGCCTTGGCATGTTTTGGAAGGAAGACGGGGCAATCTACTTTCCTAGAGATAGTGCCTTGGAAACGCAAGGAAGGGTTGCAGTTAAGTTTGGCTTTTTTGGCATGTTTTATGCCTCATAAATAAAATACTTGTACTCCATAAACATTAACTATTCATTATCATTGGCTCATTTAATCGTCACAGTAATCCTGCTATTCCCTTTTTATAGTTGAAATAGTCAAGTTTACTTATCCAAGTTGACACGTGTGGAGCCAGGATCCTGACCCAGTCAGTTATATATGCCATCATCACGGGGCAGACTGTTAACTGCTACTTAGCTTAAGGCTTACACAAATTATGTTAGGTTTTAAAAACATGTTCATTGGTGTATTTACCCAGCATTTTTTGGTGATTGATTTTCTTCATAGTAATAGTGTTGTTGTTGTTGTTATGTGCCATCGAGTCAAACCCGACTCATAGCGACCCCTCCTTGGGTTTCTGAGGCAGTATCACTACGGAAGTAGGATTGCCCAACCTTCCTTCCGACTAGTGGCTGGTGGGTTTGAACCGCCAGCCGTCTGGTTAGCAGGCAAGTGTCTTAGCCACTATGCTACCAGAGCTCCCATAGTAATAGTACCTACCATTTTTTGAGTACCTACTATTTCTTCACCCTCCCATTAGCTCATTTAATTGAATCTACACAACTATCCCCACCCCCCATGAAGTGGATGGCATTGTCTATTTTTACCTATGACGTACACACTGCGTTGGAGTCGGATCCAACTCATAGCGACCCCCGCTTGGGTTTCCGAGGCGATTATCACTACAGAAGTAGATCACCCAATCTTCCTTCCAAGGAGTGGCTGGTGGGTTTGAACCACCAGCCTTCTGGTTAGCAGTCAAATGTCTTAGGCACTATGCTACCAGAGCTCTTGAATGTGTCTTAGAACACTTAAATGACTCTCCCCAAATCACACTGCTATAAATGGTGGAGTAGGTATTTAAACCTAAGTTTGCCTGACTCCAAAGCCTGCTCTTAATCAGGTGAACTGACTCCAACCTTGTTGTTGTTGTGTGCCGTCAAGTCGGCCCCGACTCATAGCGACCCCAACCTTAGTTTTATCTAAAATTTATTCTTTTCAGACTCGCTTTATATTTGGGACTGTTACTAAAACGTTACTATGCTAGTCCTATTCATGTATACGCTGAGGCTCGTGTAACAATATGATTTCATAATTGCTATCTTAGTTTATCAGTATGGGGCAGGTAAGGAATAAAATGTCCGTTCATCATATAGTCTTGAATAAAAAGCATTCAGGATATTTGATAGTAAATAAACTCTTGGCACTTTCTGTTTACTTCAGGTTTCAGTTCTCCAGTCTACAAAGGACTCTTCTAAAAAGATTTGTGTTGCTAATACTCATCTCTATTGGCATCCAAAAGGTAGGGTTTATTGGTTTCAGAATGACCTAAACACTGTAAGGTTGGCAAAACTGTTTTACTCTAATATATATATATATCTTAAATGTTACCCAGATACTGTAGTTTGTAAGTTTTTTTTCCCTTTTTTACTTAAAGACAACTTTTAAAAGTACTTACATTAATGTTTTTCTATATTCATAGGTGGGTACATTCGTCTCATTCAAATGGCAGTAGCCTTGGCTCACATTAGACACATTTCATGTGATCTCTATCCTGGCATACCAGTTATATTTTGCGGGGACTTTAATAGTACACCATCAACAGGAATGTATCATTTTGTCATCAATGGCAGTATTCCAGAAGACCATGAAGACTGGGCTTCCAATGGAGAAGAAGAAAGATGCAACATGTCTCTTACTCATTTCTTCAAACTGAAAAGTGCCTGTGGTGAACCTGCTTACACAAATTATGTCGGTGGCTTTCATGGATGTCTGGATTATATTTTCATTGACTTAAATGCTTTAGAGGTTGAACAGGTGATTCCATTGCCCAGTCATGAAGAAGTTACAACCCACCAGGCCTTGCCTAGTGTTTCACATCCTTCTGATCACATAGCACTTGTATGTGATTTAAAATGGAAATAGATGTGTGTTTAATGGAACTTAATTTTAAGTCTGAAAAGGAAGTTAGTTACTTCAGTGGGAGAATTTAATAAGAAAGCTTATGTATAACCTTCAAAGAGGGAAACTAGACACTAAATTTTTATGCCGTTATTTTCCAGATATCTTCATTATATGACTTTTCATAATGTTTGCATAATATAGTTTCTCTGCCCTTTTTCCCTACATTCAGAGGAAAAAAAATTTATTTATGACTAGCAGGAAGATACTTGAGTTACTGCATACATTTTTGTAAGTGATTTAAGCTAGTAATGAAGGTTTTTTTTAATGTACCACATGAGTGATCCTATAATTTTTCTGTCATAATAAACATTTCAAATTGAATCATGTTTATATAATTATGGGAAAAAGTATACAAAGTAAAGGGAGAGGCCTAAGTTCTGTCAGGGAAGGAATAACATTAGTATCTGCCTCTACCTCGATTTGGTTAGTAGTTTTGTGTACAATTTCACTTTTCAGTTTTAAGCTTTAACAAAGGATTAAAATACACCATAACCAATTGTCATTGCTTCTCATCCTTCATTTTTCAATCAATAGTTTCAGTGTCTTATTCTATATTTAGTTTTTAGTGTGTACTGCAAATGGACAAATTTATATCCTCATTCTTATTGCAGCTCATTTAAATTTTTAGGATGATAGCAACAGTATTCAAAAAACAGCAACATATTCAACTTGATCCCATTGTCTTTAATTACTCCTGCCTATGAAAAATGTTCATACATCAACAGGGTATTTGACCGTATGATATTAGAGATCACAGCACAATACATCATAAGAAACTGTCTACTGACAGGGCTTGAACTTTTGGATGCACAACTGAGCTTCTATGATAAAAATATTTTCAAATTGTCAGTTTTTATAAATAGAAATGGTACTAAGTAGTGGGACTTTTGGGCATCTCTGGGAAAAAACAACTCTTGTTTTTATAGACTTGAGCATTATAGTTTGAGTTGCAGGAAAACATTGTATATATAATTTATATGGTAAAAAGATTTTAAATATGAAGCCAAATGCTTTTTAGAGTTAGAAATTTCAAAAAGTAGTACTGATTAACATCTAGCCTAAAATGTTAACTAAGCTTTACTAACTCAGTTAACACTACACTTTATTTGTAATACTTTAGTTGCTGCTTTTTTTTTGATCTTTAGGATAACCTTAATGTTAGCTCATATTCCCTCATTTATTTTCTAAATTAGGTAATAAAAGCCCACCCACTTCAAGAAAAGCTGTTGATTTTTCCAGTCATTGAAGCCTTTATTGTGCAGTCTTTCATCTCTGTACCCCATACCACAAGAACATTCCTCTTCTGGTAAAAGTAGCTTTCATATTCTGCTCACTATCCATTATATTAGGAGCTCTGGTGGCATAATGCCTAAGGATTTGACTGCTATCCAGAAGGCTGACGGTTCAAACCCACCAGCCACTTCTCGGAAGGAAGGTTGGGCAATCTACTTCTGTAGTGACACTGCCTTGGAAACCCAAGGAGGGGTCACTATGAGTCGGATCTGACTCCACGGCAGCGAGTTTGGTTTTGGTTTGGTATCCATTGTATTGTTAACTCCTCCATGGGAGAAAGATGAGGAAGTCTTCGCCTTGGAAACACTATGGGGCAGTTCTGTTCTGTCCTGTAGGATTGCTATGAGTCGGAATCAACTGGATGGCAGTGGGTTTGATTTTTGGTTAGTGTAGTTTGTTTGAGGAAGAGGGTTTTATCTGCACTTCAGACCAAACCGTGAAGTCCTTACAGAACTTTAAGGGAAAACATTAAGGTGGCAATTTCTTGGGATCTTTAGAAAAAGCCGTAATGGATGGAAAATTGATGCTACCAAATTGTGCCTTCCTAAATAATGTTTTTGGGAGCATGTTAACATTCGTTGACAAATATAAAAATGATAGATTAAAGCCAGAATCTTTTTTTTTGGCAAAATTTTTGTTTTGGTCTGCCTTCAAACAAGTTCATAGGATTGTTTCATAACTTATGAGAAAACCAGCAAAAATTGGGAAACATTTTGAAAAAAAATTATGACATAATTGCTTATGCCCATGAGAAAAGGATACAAATCCTGTTTTGACACCATGGCTAAGCTAGATTGAACTTTGGTCAGAAAAACTCTAAGCACTTAACCAACATTCCATGTCCTGAATTTTGATATTTGCTAATAACTAAATGGTACCAGATTATATGCTGGCAGTTCAGAATACTAGATTATAAAATTTTCTTGTGTTCCCTATCTTAGGACTCTATTTGTTCTACTGGAGATTCGAAGATAGGGAACACAAGAAAATTGTATAAGTAGCATATCAAAATTTCCTTGTGCTCATGAATTAGAGTGTTATTCAGAGATGTTTAAAGTATTTAAAGCCATCTTTGTGATTAAATTTTTTATTACATTGGGTTTTTTCTTTTTAGTACATTTAGTTTTAATAAAATAGGGGAAGTCTAGCAACTCTTTCCGTGGTGAACTCCATTCTGTGATGTCATAAGTTTTTACTCTAGGAATTAACATTCCAGAAATCTATGATTGATTATAAATTGCTAAGAATATGTAAATATTCTTAAAATATTTACAGAAGTAGATTGTCCAGTCTTCCTTCCACGGAGTGGCTGATGGGTTTGAGCCGCCCATCCTTCTGGTTAGCAGTCAAATGCCTTAGGTACTATGCCACCAGAGCTCCTTAAGAATATAGAATATGTTATTCTGTTAAAGTGAACTTTTCTGCAGTTATTACTTGTACACTGCAAACTTGTGTATACTGATAGTTTATAATTCATTAACAAATCATTTCTGGCTATAACATATTTGTAAAAATTAAATACTAACATCAGTGTAAAATTTCCAAGAATTCATTGGGGGTTGACTATTCTGAGAGAACTGAGGTATGACCTCATCAAAATGTGCTGGTCTTAGTCTGGGGATAGATCTCTGTGGAGCATAATACAAAAGAGAGAGGGTCCATACACCACTGGAAGATTTCCCTATTGGAAAATGACACATTTAGATCTCATTCTCTAACAATGAAGTATGGGTAGATGTTCTCTAAAAACAAATATGGGCAAATCTAAAAGCCATATATGATGAAAGATAAATGTCTGCACTATTAGTTTATCACAAAACCCGTATGAAAATGTAATAAGGAAAATCCTATGAAAAATTACGGCCAATACTAAATTATTTTATAAACATAATTCTAAAATATTTAAATGTTATGAAATTTCCACTGTTTTGCTTGTTATGTTGTTGTTATGTGCTGTCAAGTCGGCCCCGACTCATAGCGACCCCTCCTTGGGTTTCCGAGGCAGTATCACTACGGAAGTAGGACTGTTTTGCTTAATGTAGTACAAAAGGAAATACTAGATTTTGGGGGAGGAAATGGGTTTTAAGGGTTTTACTTGATTGGGGTAATTATTCAAGTTCTGTGGACATGCTTTAATATTGAAGGTATTAGAGCCATATTTAGAGTGATTGTTTAGCATTAATTTCAGAGTAACACTCTAAAATGACAATACCTATGCTTTTTTTTGAGGCAAAATTCACATAACAAAACCATTTTAAGTGGTGGTGTGCAACCATCACCTCTGTCTAGGTCTGAAACATTTTCATCAAGGAATCCTGTACCCATTAAGCAGTTACTCCCTGTTGTAGTTAAGTTTGTGTGTCAACTTGACTGGGCCTGGTTGAGTGGCTGGGCAGCTGGTGGTAGTTATTCCCCATGATGAGACTGGCAATCAACTCCATGGTGGGATCTACCATAAGCAGCTATGAGTAGCTGCTTTAGGGGTGTAATCTGCTTCCCATATATAAACTGCAGGCTTTGGGAATGATCTGTAGCATACAGCATGCTTGAACTCTGCACATAGCAGAGTTGTTGTTCAGCAGCCTGCCATGCTCTGGCAATCTTAGAACTTTTAATGGACTTGAATCAATGGCGTGCTGTGTTATTTGGTAACGTTGGGACTGTGCCTTTTTACTTGTCAACCTTGGGTTTGTCAGCCTCAGCAGCCAGCAGCCAGCAGCTGAGTGAAGAAAAACCAGCTTCTTTGGGGTAGGAGCAGGAGGCAGAGCTGAAGCCCAAGGTTGAGAGGCTTTCACCCAGCCCCTAGAGCCTGGCACTTTGAAGTAGGGCTCAAAGCCTCCAAACTGTAAGAGAATAAACTGTTTGTTAAAGCCATCCCGTTTGTGGTATTTCTGGTAACCAAAACATTCCCCATTCTTTCCTTTCGCCAGCTTGTGACAAATACTAATCTGCTTTCTGTCTCATTTTGTCTGTTCTGGATATTTTTTATAAATGGAATCATATAATATTTGACCATTTTTGTCTGGTTTTGTTTCATTTACCATGTTTTTGAGGTTCACCCATATTGTAGCCTATCTTGGTTTTTAGTGCTGCTATAACAGAAATACCACAAATGGATGACTTTAACAAACAGAAATTTATTGTCTTACAATTTAGGAGGCTAGAAGTTCAAATTTAGAGTGTCAGACGTAAGGGCTTGGTAAAGGCCCCTCGACCTTGGGCTTCAGCTCTGCCTATTGTTTCAGGCCCACTGGGCCTGGAGGTGTCTTCCAATTCAGGTAGCTGCTGGATGCTGAGGCTGATGAACCCAAGGTTGGCAGGTGAAATGGCACAATCCTAAGATCAGCAGGCAACATAGGAGGCCACTGGTTTGATCAAGTCCAGGAACAATACCAAGATAGGTAAGCCACTGGTTACCCGGCCAAATGTAAGATTCAAAATGTGCCAAAAAGCTAGAGACCTTTCTCAAAGCTTCTACATATAAACTGGAATCAGACCACACCCCAAAGGTGACTCCCCTTCAACTGATTAGGTACACACAGTAGATTCTACCATGGAGAGGATTACAGTCTCATCATCGGGAATAACTACATCCAGCTGCCATGTCACTCAAAACCACAGCCAGCCAAGGTGACATGCAATCTTAACTACCACGTATCTTATATTAGTACTTCATTTCTTTTTATGTTTGAATAATACTCCATGGTGTGT